GCATTTTGGCCACTTAATTTACCCTAATCAGAACCTATAAATAGACTAATAAGGTTCTGAATTAGAGGAAGTGATTAGACACTTTGAACTTTTGAGACTTGACCGAAATAAGAATCCTTGCTTTTACTTTATCTCGAACTCTCTCGTTCTTTTGTCATTCTTGCGTGGATTAAGCGTTTCGATGAAAGGCTAAACCTCTCGTTCAATTCGCAAAATCCAAACATTGTAGTTTTGACTTGAGTTCTGCGCTAATTACTCTGAGTTTGTTCTCTTTTTCTCTCTAACTTCAAAATTGTTTATTGCGATCATGATTGACTTTTCTGTTGTTAGATTTCAAATTAGGACTCGATTGATACTCTAATTTGATAATTAATGCAAATTAGGTTAAATGATTATCTGATTTAATTTGTAACTCTATTCAATTAGGTTATTCGATTGAATTAATAATTGAATTGGGTGATTGTTCAAACGTGGATTTAAATCTTTTGATATTGTGATAGTCGGAGTTACACGTAATTGGTATTCTGTGGATTGATGTTTCTTAATTCATTTTTTACTTACTTTAATTCTGTTCGTAATTTAATTTAATTAATTACAATTTTCAAAACCCCAAAAACCTTATTTGCAATTTTAAAAAAAATCTAAAATTGAATTTGACTGAGAATGTGTCTCTGTGAATTGACCTAGGTTTGACTTTATACTACAAAATCTTTAAAAAACTTAGTTGTTTTGATAGTGACTCGGCAATCGTCTATCACAATACATAAACTGCTTAAGTCGTGTAATACAGTACAATATTAGCTTAAGCAACAAATATTAGTTTAAGCTAACGGGTGTTGGCTTAAGTGAATTTTGACAAAAATTTTAAATTCATCTCTATCTTTGATTCGCTTAAGCATATTAGTGTTGGCTTAAGCAAAATTTGACACCACTGTCTAAATTTTACTTAAGCGGATTATAATGGCTTAAGCAAAAATTATAGGGAATGAATTCCCTATGTTTCTCCTGGTTCAACAGAGTCTCTTTAATCATTACTCCTATTCTGATTAAACCAAAGTGTTAATTTTTAATATAATTACGATGAGTATATGATGTTTTTAAATTACAAAGATCACACTTGAAAGTATAACAATTCAAAGAGAGAATGGTTGTGTATATTTAGGGTAGATTTGAGAAACAAGTTTGCATACTATTAAAGAGAGTGAAATATAGAGGAATTGAAATAAGAGAGAGAAATTGAACAAAGTTTCTACCACAATTTTCTAAGAGAATTATTTAATTCCATTAGATCTCTTGCCTTGGATATATCTTTTTAGACTTTTATTGAGAAAATTTCAACCGTAGCCATTCAATTTATCGTTAAACTTTATATCAGAAGCACAAAACAAATTCTTGAACGTGGTTCAAATATAAAGATGAGAGTGAATTTGAGAAGATATAATATAGTTTCACATGAATAAATAATGATGTTCTTTCTTAAATGACAACTGCCTTAAGAAAAATTATGTTAAAGAATGACATGTTTTAAATATATAAGAAATTGAGATTTTCTATCTACAAAATTTATTAAGAATTAAATTTTAAATATTTAAATTTTTAAAACTTATTATAACAAGTTATTTTACTAAAAACAAGTTATTTTACTAACTTATTTATAAGCCACTTACTTTAATAACTCACATAGCCTTTACCAAATGTTTACATAAGATAAAAGAGACTTTTAACACTAAATCTGCCTTATATACTATTTTTTTATCATATACATTAAAAGTTTTTTTTAAGTAAAAAAATTAAAATTTATTTATTAACATGAGTTTTATTTTTATTTTCTTTTTAAAATATAATTTTTAAAAATTAAAAACAAAAACAAATAAGTCATAAAACTCTTTCTTACTTAAGTAGTGAAATGTTTCTTTGTAAGAGCCTCACCTCTCCACTGGAGTTCTACCATCACCCAAGAGCACCATTGTATCGAAACATTGCTAGCTGTCATGGACTAAATAACTATCGTGTAACACCTTCATTTTTTTTTTATTTTCTTTGTTTTTGAAAAAATAGAAATTTTGGTGCATGGTTTCTTGCTCAAACAAGACAAAATCTTTCTGAACTAGGCTCTCTGGAACATTCTCGCTTAAATGAGGTGAGTCTCGCTCAAGCGAGAAAAGATAATATTATCCCAACTATCCCTTCGCCCAGGTGAGAAGGGTCTTGCCTAAGCGGCCTTACAGGAAAATTTGGAGAACTCTCTGGACCCATCCTTGCTCAAGCGAGAATACCTCTTGCTTAGGTGAGAATATCAGCAAAAGGTTGAAAAATTATTGTCTAGTTTTCTCGCTCAAGCGAGAATGATCTCGCTCAAGTGAGAAATCGTGAGTTTTGAAGAATATTTAAAGAACTTCACATTGAGAAATCTCATTATTCATCAAACCACCTATCCACATCATTCTCTCCGTTCTTTCTCTTTTCCTTCTCAAAGAAAAACCTCCTCTAACCCTGAATCTCTCTTAGATCTGAACTCAAATGTCTATTTCACTTGAATCCAAGTAAATTTTTAGAGCTTAACTCTTGAATCTCACTCTTGTTTCTTTATTCTCTCTTTCATTATAGTACTATACTTTGTGATGTTAGGAAGAATTTTTGTCATTGGGTAATATCTCTGGTCAAAATGTGGAGTTTCTCTCTTGATGCAATTTCATAGTAAAAGTTCTAATAAAACCATTTTAATAAATTCTATGATTTTGTTGATGACCATTATGTAGATACAGTAATATAAATTATTATTTTAAATAATACATGTACTGTGAATAATGCTATACTCTAGGATAGGTGATTTTACCAAGATATGAGAGAGTGTGATTTTCAGCAATATATTCAGAAGTGTCCAACCTTCCACACATTGTATTGAATTATTTGATGATATGTTTCTTTGTTTCATCAATATGGATTTGAATAAGATTTTTGACTGTTATGAAAAGTTGATGATGCATAATTGATTGATCTAGTATGATTAAAATGTTTTCTTTTAGTATGTGTAAGGTTGACTAAGTCTAGGTATGCTTTAATTTATACATGATTCATTAAAATGAATGAGAAAGAAGAAATAAATGAAATTGATGTGAATATCTGAAAATTGTTGAGAAAATGTAAGTAAACGAAAAGTAGTGACTAATACGTATGTTATAAAAATACTAATATATATGTTATAAAAACATTGATTAGTGTGATTATAATATAATTTTTTATAATATATCGATGGGTGAAATTATAACACATATGTTGTAATATATTGATTAGTGTGATTGTAACACATGTATTAGGATAATATTGATTGGTGTAATATTATGATTTTAATGAGTTTCCATATGGATAGTTCAGAGATACACTGAGATACAAAGTTCAGAGGCAATTTAAGAAATCTGGAAGAAATAAAAATGGTGAATGGTAATAACTTATGTGTATAGAATTGATAGTAAAAGTATTTATAGGCTTCACACACATTTTCTGACTAGACTCTAAATGCACATATTGTATCTATGTATGGTGGTTGACAGCCTCTATCTATGCTAGCGTAAGTCTTTCATAACAAAAGAAAATATATTGGCGGCGATTTAAAAGCCTGTGAGTACCTAGAGTACTATTATTTGGTGAATAATTTAAAACTAAAATGAACAAAGTGATTTGAGTTTAAAAATTGAATGATATGTATGGATGACCTATGTCTATTTAGAATTATAATTTTCTATTTTAGTGCATGATGTATTAAAAAATATTTTTTTTGCATTACTTTGACTGTATTAGAAAATATTTCTATTTTGATATTATAGTGTAAAAAGTTTTTAATTAAATATTAATAATTAATACATATTAATAAAAAAAATTTAAAAAGAAAGACTAAGTAAATTTTAAATTTAAAAAATAAAAAAGTAAGATAATTTTTGTAAATTAAACATTTAATTTTTTTTAAAATTTATATAAATAATAAGAAAAAATTAAATAATAACGTCAATATTCAAATCTAAAAAAAAATTAAAAGTAAAATTATTTTGATAAGAAAAAAATATTATATCATGCATATATTATTATATATATAAAATCGTGAATGAAAATAACTTTACACATTCTCACAACCGTTATTTATTTTTATTTTAATTTCTTATTCACAGCTTTATAACTTATTTTTTTCTTTTAAACTAAAAAAATTATTCTTTTTTAAAATTCTTTTTCTCTTCTCTTATTTATCATCCATTTATTAATGCTTCTACAATTTATTCACTCTCTCTTTTGAACTCTTCCAAAATTTCTCTTTTTTCTTTGATTTTATCTTCTATTTCTTCCTCCGTTTTTTCCTTCAAATTTTGAAAAAAAAAAAGTTTCTAATGAAAGTTTCAATTCACTCTTAAAATAGTAAAACAAAATAAAAAATAAGATAATAACAGCATACTCCTTCAATCTTTGACAAAAAATAAATAAATTTCTAATGAAAGCTTCAATTCAATCTCAAAATAGTAAAAGAAAATAAGAAATAAGATAATGTCAATATAATCTAATACGCATACAATGTCATTGTTGCCTCTCTAGTTTAGTTTTTTTTTTCCAAAAATAATCATATCTCTTAATTTATTTTTATTTTTTTTTAACTTTTGATTATTCTAGAACTTAAATTCTAGAGATGTGAATTTTTGCTTTTGAAAAACAAACTACTAAATAAATAAATAAATAATTTTTTCTTTTGAGAATTTAATTCTAAGTATAACAGATGATTTCCAGAAACTTAATCGTGGAAGTTTGTAAAGTTTAACTTACAAGCTTTCTAAAATTTACGAGCTTTCTGAAATTAAGTTTTCAAAAATCAAATCTTACACTTCTAAAATATAATTTCTAAAAATAAAATAAACTTTCGAAAACATAATTCTAAAATGATATTTTACAAACTACTAAAATTAGGTTTTTGAAAGCTAACATTTGCACTTACAAAAAAAAACAAACATTAATTTTTACTTGTAGAAAGAATTTTATTTATTTTAGCATTTTTAACTCATTCAAATCCTTATAAAAAAACTTACCCAAACTTAACCTTACTCTCCCACACACAAATATAGGATCCATAACATGTCTCGCATCACCAATATGTAATTTGGTCAAGACAAATTTCCCAGTTCTTAGCAAATAATAGAACAAAATTTGTCGTTCACATCCCATAATCCATCATAATTTCCAAATGTCCACAAAAAATAATAAGAAAGCAGACCCCAGAAATTAGATGAATTTCCATGGTGCTTATGCCGGGCTATCGATATTCATGGGTTGGGCATCCTTGGACGCAGATTTCTGCACGTGAAATAAACAGTGCATTAAAAAACACAACACGGACAAAAGCCAGATTTAAAATGCAAACCCACTAGTCACAGTCGAGCAAAATTATACATTTGGGTCCATTGTTTTATGATTCTGGCAGTTAATTTTGCTAACTGTCGTAAACAAGTAACTCAGTGTGACACTATATACAAAACATAATTCTTTTTTGTATATCTTGTTGGGTAATTCTTGATATATTCAAACGTGTCACTAGCTAAATATCACTCAACTAACAAAATTATCTGCAGAATAATAAAACGATACAACCAAGATATATAATTTTCAGTATCAAGCAAAAAGCTGAACAGCTATGCCTGCTATGGGAAAGAGAAAACATTGATGTTATGTTTAATACAGGAAATTGTGTTCTACTCCGTGTTCAATGCACAGAATAAACATGCTCATGTTAGCATAACCTGTTCGTTCCATATCCTGTTCCAAGTTAATTTACGGAATGAAATTTTTTATTAACATCCCATTCCATACCCCTTGGTAAATTTATCCCTTCTAAATTTAAATATTATTTTCAATCTATCCTTCTTATAAATAATTTTACATACTCACGTAAATTGTTAGATTTTTAAAATAATAATGTAACTATAAACATATGTAAAAAGTTGTACACAATACAATTGTGTAACATAACCATTACTAAAGAATTATAAAGAACATAACATAAGAAATATCATTTAATTCAAAATACTTTCTCTCTAACCCTTTTAACTAAATTATATAAACTAATAAAAATAGTTAAAGTTGGTTGATTTACCTTCATTTAATATCATTGACAATTTTACTCAATCACTTCGGGTAAGCATATTAGAGATTTAGAGAAACTACAGAGATGAAATACTCACATAACTGTCAACCGAATCTAGTTTATGCATTTTGTTGAACATATTTCCATAAAATTTTGCCTCTTTTTTATTATACTCCTTCACCTTTTCCTTCAAAGTCTTGTACTCCAACTTGACATCCCTAGTTTACATACCAATAGCAAATATATTGGTCAGATTAGAACAAAAATTACAGCAGATAAAATGATAAATAATCCAAAATACAAATAAATGAAATGAAATTTGAATTTTAAACCAGATTCAAGAATTACCCATCTATAAAAGCCAACAATAGTAATGCAATCAGAATATACCTGTTGTCAGGGTCAATCTCCAGGGCTTTCTTGATATCAAATTCAGCCAAATCTAAATCTGCCAACTGGATATATGCCTGGGCCCTTCTATAGAGAGCCTTTACGTTGGTACTCTCAAGCTCCAGTACCTGCTTCACCATATCAAGAATCAGTTTTTGCTTTTGTAGATAAGTGAAGTGGTTTTCTATAACTATCAGATGGGAAACAGCAGTTATACTTTTGTACACAATTTCTCTGCTTGTTTGTAATCTTTGAACTTCAACTTGCATGCTGCATTGTTTAGATTGCAGGCAACCTTCAAGGCTTTGGAGTTCTTCTTCTCCTCTTCACTGAAGGAGGAATCATAATCAATGAACTTAACAGCCTGCATCAAAGTTTCAATAACAAATATCTCAGAGGATGCATTGAAATGGGAGTGAATAAAAATTTAATTTAACTTCAATTACCTTCTCATATCTTTTCGAAGCTCTTGTATATTTACCAGCTTTAAATAATCCATTCCCTTCTTCTTTCTTCTTGCCAGCAGCTTCAATCTTCTCTTGGGTGTTCATGTCCCAGGACTCCTTCTCCTAAAAGTAGGTAAAAATTACTAATGCTTAATGTTTATACAAGAACTTGCCTGGTGTCAAAAACAGCAATTTTAGAATAACAAAATTCCCTTGCTAAGTTATGGAGATTAATAACTGTTGTGGTATGCATAGACTGAGTGAAACCAATATTTATTTATTTACAGGTATAGAAATTCCTTTGTCCAGCGATTGACATACAAAAAATTCTTAAGTGCATGTTCTTCGAAGATGACATAATCCTAGTTGAAGAATCAAAAGAAAAGAATAACTCTAAACTTGAGCTTTGGAGACATACTTTGAAATCTAAGAATATTTTGCCTTGACAGAAGTGAAAAAGCATATATATCACAATTTTAGCAAGAAATAAGATGATGATTATGTGCTGAAAATTTAAGTGAAGAAATTATTAAAAATATTACCCATAAAGTACAAGATAAGTGGTAAAAGTAAAAAAAAAATTATCAAGAGTTATTTGTGATTGTAAATTATCTAATAAACCGAAAAGAAAGTTTTATCATACTAGGAAACTTTAGCCTAATTCACTTCCAAAAGTTAGCTTATAAGAGGACTAAACAAGTCTTTATAAAGAGTATTTTGCCTCTATTCCTAGCCACCGTAGGACATCTCAACACACACCCTTTGTGCTCAAGATTGGACATTAAGTTCTGAAGTTTGTGGAATAGGACATTTGCAGGTGGCCTTACAAGAGTGAATATCTATAGACAGCACATCATTTAAATTGGGATAGGCTTCGATAAACTTGGGCTTAATTCACTCAAAAAACTAGTTCATAGGAGAAAGATTACCCAAGCCCTTATAAAAATATTTCCGATTCTATTATTGACCAATATGAGACATTTTAACAATAGTGAATATTGAACTTTAAAGAAATAACATGAGAAAATGTGAAAATTATAAAAATAAGAATGTTAAAATGAATAAGTAGTCATATGAGAAAAGACAAAATAAAAAATAATTATATCCCAAAAATATTTCAGTAGCATCTTTTGAAGAAAAGTGTTAGGCCCCTTATAAGTAAACATTATAAGAAAAGAGCCAAGACTTAGGTTTTTCAATAGGATTGAATTATCTTAGCAGTTATTAATTATTTTAGCAGGTGTTATTTTAATTAGTGGGGGCAAGCGTAACTGCCTCTAAGCAGTTACGAGCAGAATAAAAATAGGAGAAAAGGCAAGAAGGATGGAAGGCACTTTTTGAGTGGATTTGGGAAGGGAGAGATCAGGCTCTCAAACAGGAAGCCTTTGTACTCAATCCGTTTTGCTCAACTTCCTATGTAACTTTTAATTCCGTATCAGTTCAATTGAATACACTTCAGTCTTTATTCCCACACCAGTTGGTGTCCATCAACAAGATGACAAAAAACAGCAAAGACGGCCACTAGAAGCACTAGTAGAAGAGTAGCTAACATAATTTTAGCACAATTAAAAAAGGGAAAGAGAAACCCAAAAAACTTTAAAAGAAGAAATTATTAAAAGAAATTTAGCAGTAAATAATATCTTAAATATTTTAGTGTTTTTACTGAATTCAATGGCATTATTTGATCCACATAACCAACCTCACCTAGAGGGATAAGGATCAGTTGTTGTTGGGTATAGAAATTCAATCAACTTTTGACGCTCAAATTGATTAGGCCAGATGATCATTTGGTTAAATTATTTAACTAAATTATCATATTAAATATAAACAACAGGTGGAAATTAATTAATTAATTTATAGAAATAAAAACATGGACAATAGGAAAGCAAATAAAATTGGAATTTGGAGGAAAAATAAAAAGGGAGCAGAATTAACTTGTTTCTTTATCAGTCCCTTTTTAACCTTGTGAATTTTGTTTAATTACATTACAGTATTGCAAATAATTGCTCAGTTATTAACTTACCTTCACAAATGATACTAGCTCAACCTCATAATGCACAATGGAGTTTGGTGGAACCACTGCCAGTTCCTGCTGAGACTCCAATGAACCAAAAGCATATTCAGGTGAAATAGTCAACAATGCTACCTCACCCTTCTTCATAGTCAACACAGCTCTGTCAAGCCCTTCAATTACTTGCTCTACTCAACCCATCAAACATTACAATGGTTAGCATAAAAATAAATTTGTGGGGAGCAAGAAGAAACATTAGGACATTTCAAGTTACCCTCATCTGTTTTGAATTCAAACAGCTCCGACTCATCATCATGGCCCTTCTTCAAAAACAAAGTACCATCTTGCAGCTTACCAATTACTTTCACTGCAATGATGCTAAAAAATACGTAAGAATACATCAGAAAGCATGTCTTAAATATATTATAAATGAAAAGGTCATCATGCACATCAACTAGCATTTACATTTCACAATGGCTCCCTCATTTGGATGTTCATATCCTTCTCCTTCCTTGAGGATCTTTTTGGTGACCTTCTTGTCATCAGTTACTTCTGACACAGTCTTCCAAGAAACTAATTCAAGAGTAATCTGCAATGTTGCATTTGGTGGAACTGCACCTTCATCACCATGTGCTGGCTTGCCCTTCTCACCAAATCCATCTACAAACAAATAAAAAAAATGCATAAAACTTTGAACCAAAGTAAATGTTCATATTTATGATATTAAGGTTACTAGTCACATCATTTTAAGAAAAAAAAAAAAGAAGAGAAAGTTAGATCATCAATCACCAAATCATACTGTAGACAACTTACATTGGGGCTTCACAGTCAGAATCACTTTCTCTCCCTTCTTCATGGTTTTAACAGCCTTTGATAATGCAGGACAAAAATGACCTGTAATAGAGTTAACATTAATGTAAGATCACACCATGCAAATTTGAAAAATGAGTAACAAATTTTGTAGGCACTGACCATCTTTGACTGTGAACTCCACTCCGTTAGATTTTGCAACCAGTGTTCCATCATGAAGACATGCTTCATACTTAACTGCAACACCAAAAGTGCATTTAATGGTTAAGACTATGTTATATAACATAACAAACAGATTACAAAGGAAGTATATAAGTATACCTAATACTTCATCAGGATCCTTGGGGTTCTCCCATTTCTCCCCCTCAGTAAGTATCTTTTTAAATAAACCCCCATCCTTACATATGTCCTTCACACTAGTCCAAGACAGCAGCTCCACATCAAATTGGAGTGTCGCATTGGGAGGAATTGGTGGTGGAGAACCAGATTCACCATAAGCCAGCTCAGGCGGGATGGTAAAAAGAGCATTTTCACCTTTCTTCATTGTTTTAATACCTTGATCCCATCCTTTAATAACTTGCCCTGCATTTCCAAGATACGACCACCTAGATCAAAACATAATACTGATAGCAAATGTTCAATCAAAACATACTATTTCATTCCCCCAAGATAACAAGTGCTGTGTAGAGATTCGTTTAACTCTTGATTACATGGGCTACCAAAAATCCATACCCTCCATGAAGGGGTAACAACAAATGGATTAGAAAAAACAATCATACTTATTATTAGACATAAAACAAATGATCAGATCCAATTCTTTAAAAATCCAAGCTAACTACTTAATAGCTATTACCAGTAGAAAATTTCAAATAGAAATAGAAATTTACTAAAGAAAATAGTCGCATGCCTATGGAATTCCCCAAAGCATGCCAACTCTATTGTCTAAACACAAACCAATCTCACAAATTTCCAATTCCTATTATTTTCACCACTTAGCAATCCAATTTAAAACCCAACCGAAAACTCACAGGAACGCTTCGCATTGCTCGTGCCAGATTTAATAAATCCACACAAAAACCAACAAAACACAAAATTACATTTTTTGTCCCCAAAACAAGTCCAAATCATCATTATCCATTAAACGTTAAATTCACAAATTCACCATCACAAGCACAACCTCGTTTAAAATTCTCCACATACTCTGAAGCGCTAGTAGGTAAATCCACCAAAAACCAATTAAACAGTCACACCATTCCAAGTCCCAACACATTGATTAATCACAACACCCACAATTCTCACCACAAAAACCAAAAACAAATAAAGAAAGAAAAGCACGACACTCACCTTGTCCAAGCGTGAAACTGAAAGGGCTTCCCCTATCTCTGCTGGAATCAAACTTTGTGCCATCAAGCAATGTCCCAGTATAGTGAACTACAGAAAAAAAAAATTAAAAAGAAAAAATCATCAAATAAAAATGAAACAAAACAAAACACGATATTAGAACAAACCGAGTAAGAAGAGTACTAGCCATATACTCTCTAAACTACTCTGCCTAAGACACTATCTGGGGTTAGTTAAAATTTATTAAAAAATTACAAAATTATTAGATCTCATTAAATAGAGAATGGAATACAATTTCATAAACTTCAACTAATAATAAATAAGTAAAAAGTGTTCCCAACGTTTCGAAAGTCAATAAATCTTTAAATAAAAATTAAACACGACAAAACAAAAAAAATTAGAACAAACACAGTAAGAAGAGTACTAGGCAATAGTCATACACTCTCTAAAACATTATTTCTGACACTCCTTTTTATTATTTAAAATATATTAAAAATTGTGGAAGCATGAATGATATTCGTTAAATAAAAAGTAAAATACACGTAATTTCATAATTTTTGATAAAGTGAATCGAAAAACAAAAAATTACAAAAATAATTAAAAGATTGTTACTAGCATGTCTCAACAAAGAAATCTAAATGCAAGAAATATAATATGAAGGAGAGAGAACAACCTTGAACTTCATCACCAACTTCAGGTGCGTCCCATCCTTCGCCTTCTTTAAGGAGCTTCTTCTTCAAGCCTTGTTTCCCAATCTCCTTCTCCTCGCCGACCTTGAGGACAGGGTAGTCGACGTCGATATCGCCGCCGGCGAAGTCGAAGTCGTCGTTCATGGACTCCGGCGCCGGCATGTCGAAATCCTCGTCCATTTCGAAACGCAGAAAATGCTGAGAAGTTAGTTAGAATGTGCGTGAAGATGGAATTGGAAGAAGGAACAATGAAGAGAGTTGAAAATAAAATGAAGTTGGAGGTTCCAGAGAGTTCTACGGTCTATGGCGAGTGTCTCCGAGTAGCGTAGTTTCCAGATTCCAGGGTTGAGTTAAGATGCTTCTAGACTGCGAAAATTTCTTGCTTTCCTTTGCTTTGCTTTTTTTTTTTTAAAAAAAAAACTATTTATACACATCTAATTTAAGAGGTTTTTACCTTATAATAAATAATTAATAATAATAAAATATCATTAAAAATATTTATTATACGCTTATGATTTTAATATAATAAATATGATTTTTATAATATTTTTTATTTATGAATATTTAAATTCAGTTAAAAAATATTCTGAATTTTATGAATGAGACATTATATTTTATATTATACATTTTTATTAATTTTTGTAATATTTTATTAATAAATATTAAATAAAAATATATTTAATATTTTGAAAATATAAAATATGTCTAATTTTTTATTTAGTTAGTAAAAAAATTCGAAAGAAATTGTTATAGAAGAATTTAGAATTATTTTAATTTCATTTTGTTTAAACATATATATTTTATTTAATTAATTGATCTTGTTTAATTAAATTTTCATAAGGAGATTAAGTGATTAATATTAATAAAATTTTATTATAAAATATTTGCTCTACTTTTTATATTTAAAATAATAATTATTTTTTCATAAAATTTCACTTTTATTGATTATTTAAATTTAATTTTTAAAATTGAGGTTAATAAAATCGATAATTAGTTTAAGAGATGGTAATAGATAAAGTACCTAATGAGAACCTGTAAAATTTACCTTCAACCGGTAGGTATTTACTTGCTAAACAAGTACAAGTGTGGATGTAAGAAAATACCCAAATTTTAATAGAGATGATTGCGAGTATAGGTACATAAGTATTCACTCCGCCTCATACTCGCATATATTAATATTTTTTTATTAATTATGCTACTTATGTGAATTTTAATCTATGCTTGAACTTTGTTCTATAACTACGTATTGAATTTTTGTATTATTATGCTACTTATGTGAAGTTATATAATCATATTTTTCTTTATAAGCAATTGAATAGAATATTGATTTATTTTTTATATAATGTATAAAACATTCATGATTCATTGATTTTTTAATGTTTACACACATTTGTTATGCATTTTTTCATTATTTAGTAGGAACAAAAATGTTAATCATCAAGTCATCTTCAACAAAGTTAGGTTTTATTTCCCATTTTTTTTCTTTCTTTTATCATGCTTTTTTCTTCTTTTTCTTTTGCAAAATCTGTGCTAGAATGTGAACTATTTTCTATTTATATAATGCTAAAATACTCTACTAATATTATAGACTTTTTTTTATAATTTTAGTATAATTTTCTAATAACAAATCGTACGTGAATATTGTAACATCCTAATCCTTAGTGCTCCTGGTTTGCTGAATTTTAACAAAATCGTTGTCAAAATTTTAAAAATTAAATTATTAGGAATTAGTCAAGGTGACTTTAGAGTTTTATATTCATTAGATGATTTGTGATTTTCTGAAATTTTTAGAAAATACTCAAAATTTATCTATTTTGTGAGTATACTGATAAAAACTTCAAACTGAATTTGAGTATAGCAAATGAAGTACAAAAAAAAAAATTCTGAAAATCTTACAAGAGTCTAGTAATGCTAACAAGATCTCGAAAAGTAAATTTTTACAACACAATTTGATAAATTTCAAAATTCTATTTTGCAGCATATTTAATTAGCAGATAATAAATAAATTATTTCGGGAGCAATTTGAGTAAATTAAAATTTTAATAATCATCTCATTATTATTGTAAACATTCTATTACCTTGTTTAAAAAAAAAAAAAATTCCTACCTATTAAATTGTAAAAATATACATTTGGTAAAAATGTAATTCTTAAGTTTTAAAAAATAATAATAATAATAATAATAATAATAAATTATTTGAATTTTGACTTTTATAAGGGACATAGGAGAGAGAAATACTTAAAAAATTCCTAAAACTTTCCTAAAATTTACGGGCTCTTCTTCTTCCTTTTCTCTTCCAAAAACTTTCACATTTCAAGCTAGAAATTGAGGGCAAAATCTTAGTTTTCTTGAGGAGCTTCAAGAGGTAAGTTTATTCCCCTCATCCTCCTCTACATTTGTATGGTTTCATTTTTTCAAAATGGTGCATTTTCATTTTCTCTCCTTGCTTGGCTTCACATGAATAGGAATGGGAAGAGTGTTATGGTGCTTTTGTTGTTGTGATTTTACACCTAGAACACTAGAATCATGCTTGAAATGGATTATTAGAAGTGGTTAGGCTAAAAACCTAGGAACTCAAATTTGTACGTTTTAGTCCATTGAATTCTGGGACTTGTGTGGACCGAATTAGGGTTTCACATCAAACGGATATTTATAGCTCAAGTTATGCCCATTTTACTATCAGATATTCTAGCAGTCACCTTAAAAGATTATCCTGTTCCAACAGCCACGGATTTCGAATTACTGGGACTGATGTGTAGAATTGGGACTCGAATCCTCATAAAGGTTGTAGGAAATTGTATTATTGAAATTTTAAAATCTGTTTCATGTCAATAGCTTATTTGTAGCATGAGATATAGTCAAATTACTAAGGTATGTTCAGAATGTTAGTGTAGTTGAGCCCTGTTAGAAATAACCTCTGTAAACTGCAAACTGCCATTATTCTATACGGTATTTGAATTTGATTTCTTCATAAGAGTTGTAGATAAATTAGTCCTTGAAATTTAGAAACCGGTTCCATGTTAAAATGTTAAGTATATCTTGAGTAATGGCAAAAACACTGAACCTTGTGCAACCTGCTCGAAAATTTCTCTGTCATAACTTGGACCAACTTTATTGTACAATCTATCTTGGATTAGACTTTGATCTCTTCATCAATATTGTAGACAATCACGAAAATTCCAAAACACTGAACTTTGTTTATGTTCTTCATTAGGATTCCTCCTACTCTAAGCGTATACCAAATAGAATAATTTTCTAAGTTAAGTGTAAGGTGAATGTGGGCTTAACATATTGCCATGATTAGATTAGAATAATGAATGAGTTTAAATTCTCATGAGATAGAACGGAGAAGGTTCTAACTAGCATTTCATTACATGTATAGATTTCGCCGGAAATCAATCTCAACCTCAAGCTTTGGAAGGAACAAGCGTGGACGTAAGAGGTAAAGGGTGGGTTATATAGTAAGGATTACATCATAAACGTATTTAACCTTACTTGTTGAAATTGTCAAATTTTGTTATGATTGATACTTTCAATTTTATAATTTGTTTAATTTCAAGAGATGAAAAAGGTTGGTTTGCGTGTTTGATTGTAAAAGTATATGTTTGAATACTTCATTGAGCTATAAGTTGTGTTATATGATATGAATTGTCCTTGAATAAGCATTTATGTGCATGGTGGTTTTCATGGGAAAGTTTATTGAAATTAAATTGAAATGAATAAATGATGGGTGGTGAATCCTTACAAACTGTATTGGGAAGTTTTCTGATTGTAACAGATATCTAAAAAAAAAAATTTGGGAAGTCCGTATTACAAGGGAAACTCTATCAAAATTTTTGAAAAATGTTCAAACTAAAAAAAAAATAAAAAAATATTTTAATCATTTTAAACAAATTCATGCATTACTCATCTGAAAATGGTATTTTGTGCAAACTGGGGAATCGGAGACTATGGACTCTGGGAATACGATAGGGAGGCCCTGAGGGAGGACTTGGGGATAGGAAGGGTAGTGGTTGGAAGCTCCAAAAGGCTCAGGCTCGCTACCTGTTGTCAGGGATCCCACTGTACAAACTCTCCTGTACCTGACTGTACTCTTACCGTATATCATGGTCAGTGAGCTACTAGGTTTATATTTGAGCGTGGGTCTCAATAATCCCGTGGGTGGATTTTCCATACCTAGTAGTGTCAACTCCTGGCTACCCCAGCACTGATTTGAGAAATGATCTGGGCCCGCATGCATGAACATATTAGTAAAAGGAACTAGGATCATGCATCATCATCATCATCATGTATTTGGAATGTGATTGATCTGTGAATGTTTATGATGTTTGATTTTAACAAGATGTATGAACTATGGCTCACCCTATTGTCTTTCTATTTTTTTATTTTCTATGTGTTTGCGATACTTGTTGGATTTGCTCGATCACTCTTTGTAGTAGAGGGAGATGGCACAGTTACCACTTCAGACGAATATGGTGATCAGGTTCCTCAGTCCAGAACTACACCGATGGCATCACGATTGGGATAATCACATTCACACATTTGCTGGCATACTTACTATAATGCTAAGGAGAGCGGCACCAGGACCCGGAGGTGGCAATGTACCTTTCACCATTAGGACTAGACTAACTCTTGATTTGGGTAATAACAATCCCTTTCAGCCCATACCACCACCAGTTCCCCCTCCAGCTGAGGAGGAGGAAATGGATATTGATGTTCCTGAGGATTATGATCCTCTAAACATCGATGAGTCTAGTGACTCAGAGATGGGCTCATATGAGGGGGATTCATCACCCAAGTCTGAGGATATGGATTCAGAGTAGGACTGGAAGCACCTTACTTTTTGTGTACAGTGGCAAGAGTTAGTTGTAGGCATTCTTTTGTTGTACATAGGCCTATATGGTGCTGGGCAGTAGCCACTTATTTTGTTTAGTTATGCTGCTCTGTAGGAAATCATTTCCGGTGTTGCTCTTATTATTTTGAAGAATTGTATCTAATATTTTTATCTGTATGTTAATTATGTTACTAGACGTGATTGAGTTCTCTGGTGTATAGTGACGTGTAAGCAGGGAACTCATTGACCATTTGCCCTTTGGATTACTGTAAACAACTATTTAAATACTTATGAATGTTTACTTTTATTATATGCTACGATGAAATTCAGAAACTTCATATTGAAATTTGCATGTGAAAATTTATTTTGTGATTAATGATTGGAAATCTCGACATTATGTATGAATGAATTATTATTGGTTTTTAAAAAAAAAATCACTAATTGAGGGTCTCTATAAAGTAGGGTGTTACAAATATCAAAGGAAACTAGCCAGTGACTATTATTATTTGATTTTAAAATACAATACTAACAAATGTTGCAAAAAAGGAGAATCTCCTTTTAAA